GGGATTTAGGAAAAACAGGTCTAAATATTTCCTTAGTGGGGTGTAATGAAAAAAAGGTTGACAAACACTGATATAAATTAAGACCCACCCAGGAGAGGTGCGCACACACACACACACCTTGTTGTGATCCCAGTTGCTGCAACTTGCTCACTCACAACCCACTGCCCCACCCCCTCTCAGAGGGCAGGATGCTGGTATCTAATCACCTGAGCATCAGTCCATCTTCACCCCACTCCAGGCTGCTTTCACATCTGCCCCAAACTTGGAAACCCTAGAGCAGCTGTTTCCGAATAACCTCCACCACAAGGGGTGCTGAGGAGGGCCCTTGGTTCTCTCTCTGCAGTTTCTTCCCAAAAGACTGTCACTGTCCTGCCATGGTCTCAGCTCATTCCAAAGTCCTAAAGAACACCTCCACCCACCGCATCATCCTAAATTAGTGGCAGTTCACAGCAACCATCCTCACTTTGCACATGCTTCGAGTGCCCCTGCTCCACCCTCTCAGTCTTGTCCCTCGGTTCCCACCATTGCTGGCCCCTCTTGGCTGCTGTGTACTCACCAGGATGCTCCTGTGTCTGCACCCTCTGCTCCTCAGCCCAGCTCACAGTCCCCTGGCCTCCCAGGGTCTAGGCCCCTTCTTGCTGGCCCCTCCCCTCCCCCCCGGGTGCCAGGGGCCGCCTGCCTCCAGGGCCCAGCTCCTCCCTGTCCTCCAGGGGGAGGGGGGCACAAAGGGGCCCTTGTCATCACTGCTCAACTAAGCAGCCTGATGCCTGGGTTCTACTAGCTCCTTCCTGGAGGGTGGGGCACTGCCTCACTTGTTCCCCTCCATCCTCCATCGCTGTACACCCTGGTTCTGAGTCCTTGGGAGGGCATTCTAATCTCTGAACATCTCAGACTGAGAAACAGAAGTCATTGTCCTCAGCATTCAGGGAATCTCAGTGACAACGATAGGTATATAACCCTGGTCACGAGAGGCAACAGAGGCTGGTGTGGGTGGGAGGAGGAGGCTTCAGTGTCACCTCCACCCTCGCTTACAGTCACTTCCCTAGGTCATGTTTGGTTCTTGCATCTGGTCTATTTTCTTCTAGGCTCTTCTTGTCATTAGAAATGACCTTAGGTATTGACTGTCCATTTTCATGAGAGCATGACCTTCAGAAGGGTAAGGGTTTTGCCTGCTTATTGCCAATCTATCCTGCTGTAGAACAGCTCCTGGCACAGTTAAGTTTCATAAATGCAGAGCGGATGCATGAATGTGCCCATCTAATCCCCTGTGGCACCTTCTGACTGGAGGCCTTTGCACATGTTCCTTCCTCTGGGAAGCTCCCCTACCTCACCCCACCTGCACTCTGCCCAAAACAAAACTCCCTGAGTGAATGCCATTTCCTCCTGAAGCCTGCCTGCCTTCTCACCAAGCCAAAGCTGTTTTATGTATGTATGTATGTATGTATGTATGTATGTATTTATTATTTTTAATCCTCACCTGAGGATATGTAGAGAGAAAGGAAGGAAAGGAGAGAGAGAAAGAGAGAGAAATATTGATATGAGAGAGAAATATCAATTGGTTGCCCCTTGTAGACTTTGTGACCAGGGATCGAAACTGAAACCTAGATATGTGCCCTGTCCAGGGATCAAACTCAAACTTTTGGTGCATGGGATGATGCTCAAGCAACTGAGCCACCTAGCCAGGGCAAAGCCCTCCCGTTTAAATGTGACCCTGTCTGCCCACAGTCCTCAACATGTCTGCCCACCTGCACTGTCAATGAGCTCCTTCTCTACTAGCCAAGAGCACCCAGAGGCATTTCTGTGTCTGTCTTATTCATTGTGTCCCCTAGAGCAGAGCCTGTGCTCAGTGCTCAATGAGGGCTGTGCTGACTCCGAGCTGGGTGGGGACCCTCTGTGGGCAGAGTCCACAGTGATCCTCCTGCCACCACAGCCCCTCCTATTGGTCAAGATCTTTGCAAAGTGGTGGCCAGGAGCTGGCAGTGGTTTGATAAGTGTAGTAGTGGCTTGGCCATGAGCTGCTCAGCCATACTGGGGCATTTTCTGACTCCCTTTAGGCCAGAGCAGTGGGGAGGGAGGGAGGGAGGGAGGGAGGGAGTGTTCTTTCTCCCAAGAAAAAACCTGGGTGGGTGGGGTCGTGGTGAGGGGTGGGAAATCCCTCAACAGGGAATTGAGGAGTCAGAGAAGGCTGGGTGGAGGGGGAGAGAGTCCCATCCCCAACTCAGGCTTCATGATGTCAGACTCTGCCCGTGCCTTTCCCAGTCAGGAACAAAGGCCCATTGAGAGTGGGGTGGGGCTTGAACGCCTGGGTCCTGGAGAAGAGAGGGGCCTGGCGCCAGGGGTATAGGGGAGGACACCATGATCCTGGGGTACTCATATATTACAGCCTTCGGTGTCAGTACCAACCCCCTTGGGCTCATGTGTCTGTGCAGTTTTGGGGGTACAGCTCCTTTCTGGGTGTGAACTGAAGGCTGTCCCTGGGAGAAGCATGCACAGGAGAGTGAGTCCCACAGACAGCACTGGCTACTATCTCCGAAGTCTGAAAACTCCAATCCAGAGCACAGGTAGCCTCAGGGGCTGGAGAGCATGTGCCTGCCTACCTCGAGAGGGCCCACTCTCGTCCAGCTTCCACCACTGCCAGCTCAGCTGATCCTTCCAGACAGGACAGGGCTGTTAGTCTGCTAGGGTTACTATGACAAGGTACCACAAACCGAATGGCTCAAAAAACAGTTTATTATCTCACAGGGCTGGAGAATAGACGTCTGAGGTCAACACGTTGGCATTTGGTTCCTCCGAGGGCTGTGAGGAATGGGCCTATTCCTCTCCTGGGGGCCTCTCCTCTTGGCTCGTAGATGGCCGTCTTCACGTTGGTATGGTGTTCTCCCTGTGTGAGGGCCTCTGTGTCCAAATTTCCCCTTTTTAAAAGGACACCAGTCCTATTAGATTAGAACCCACCCTAAGGGCCTCATTTTAAATTGACTGTCTCTCTAAAGACCCTTTCTCCAAATAAGGTCACAATCTGAGGTACTGGGATTTAAAACTTCAACTTATAAATTTGGAGGAGGGGGGACACAGTTCAACCCATAACATCAGAAGTTCAGATTTTTATGTGAGATACCTTGCTTTTTAGGTATTAGCCTAATTTTATCTAAAATATTGTGCAGACCAAGCAAAACTCATTTTAGGGCAGAATCAAGCCCTGAGGCCCACTTGTTTAATGCTCTCGAGTGGGAGCTGGTGCTTGGTCCAACTCAGGGGCACTTGCTGCCCTCAGCCAGACTTGCCAGCTTTGTACCAGGAGTCCTCCAAGTGCAGCCCCCAGGCCAGCCTGGGAACGGGTTAGAAATGCAAGTTCTAGGGCCCCACCTGTACCCTCTGGAACTCCGGCAATCTGCACTTCACCAGGCCCTGCAGGAGGTTTGGGTGCACACCGGAGTTTGAGTACCTTTGGCTCTCATCTCTAGGACCACTTGGAGAACTTGGTAAAATGAGCCAGGAGTACTCAGTGTCATTCAATGTACTTAGTAATTTCAGGTTTCCCACCTCCCAGGTGCTTATTGAGGGGATCTGAGAGTCCCCCACCTTCCCATCAATACTGGTCCTTTACATCGATGAAGGATTTGACAAGTTTCCAAAACCCCTTTCACACTCATTCCTGGCAGAGCAGTTCAACAGCACCATCACCTAAGAACTAGAGAGGCACTTTGTCCTTCTCTACACGTGGAGGTGGTGTTTCAGAGCCAGGAGAGGATGCCTGTGGGGTTCCACAGCCAATGGAAGGCCAGGATCTCCAGCTTTCCTTCCTCTCCCTGCCCCTCAGTCTCAGTCTCAGTTCAGGCAACCTTCTCTCAGAGGATGAGCCTCTCATGGCTTCCAAGGCAGAGGGCAGAAGTTTGTGGGTTACCAGACTTAACCAGCTCCCAGTTGGGTTAAGTTTGGCTCACAGAGTGTTGACTTGAAAAAGTCAAATTACTTTTATCAGTTGCCAAAATTTTAAAAAATCAGGAAATTTCACATAAAAGTAAGGATTGCCACCTTCTCTTGTAAAGAAGCTGTAGCTGTGTTCCACCTGCCTTTGAGCATGGCGACCATCACTGGGAGCCCTCTTAGATGGGATCCAGGCCTCCCACTGCCCTTCCACAGACAACAGTGAGGCCAGATGGCCAAGGCCCTTTCTCATCACACTACTGCTGACGTTTTCTCATGAGCTAAGAAAATAGTGAATTGCATCTTTGTTTCTATCAAAAGTGGAAATCAGATAAATAGAGAGGAATGCAGTTTTTAAGAATGGGAGGGACCTTAATTCCTTATGGAGGTGAACAATATTCTCTTATGTGTTTCACTTGCAAAGTGTGTTCTTATTGGGAGATTACAACCTAAGATGCTCCTATGAATCAAATCCACACTTCACTCACTCATGCATCTGTGTGGAAGGCCAATGTTCTCAAACTTTTTGGTTTCAAGGACCATTTCTGCAAAATTATTGAGGATTCAAAAAGAATTTCATTTAAGTGGGTTATACATATAGTTGCTTAACATATTAGAAATTTAAGTTGGGAAATTTTTAAAGCACAAGCCAGTCCATTAGCCATCAGAGTGATAATGTCATCATGTGTCACAGGGCTTCTGGAAAACCCCATTGTACACTCGAGTGAGAGTGACAGTTAGAGAGGCAAGTAATATCTTAGTCGCATTCGCCTGTGGAGCCCTAGTGGGAGCCCCAGACCTAACTTTGAGAACCCCTGCTAGGCGTTTGAGTGTGTCACCCATTTCAAGACTTTAAGAAAAAGTTTGTCTAGTTTTTATTCCTTGCTATGGCAACAAAAATGCTAGGTCTTATGAAGTGTGGCTTAAAGAAGGGGAAGAACAGATAACAAATTTCCTTCACCAAGCTTCCTTGCAACCCCACACATCCCACCAAGTACTGGCCCTTACCAGACAGTGGCCAGAACAAGCCTCTGGCACAGGCCTTTGCCAGGGAGAAAGGGCAACAGACACTCTGGTTTGGAAAACAAAAGCTAGAACCAGCCATTTTATTCCGAGACCATTCACCAAGTGTTGGAGGGTGACAGGAATAAATAAGGGAGGGAGAGGAGGGCCAGGAGGCTCTATGTCTTGCAGCAGATCCCACACTTTGATTTACGGCAGCAACCACAACAGAAGATGCAGATGGGGAAGTGGGTGTCTCGCCTCCTCAGCCTCTGGAGCCCAGTCTGTGGGAAGAAAGGGAGAGTGAGTGGGTGTGGGTCCAGGGGAGGCTGTGGAGGCTCCAAAGGGAGGTCCAGGTGTTCTCACCGTCAAGCCAGCTGAGGCTCTAGCTGTGTCCTGAGTCTGGTGGGCTGCAAGCTCTTTTGTCTGTGAAAGCAGAAGTGGTATTGCAGATGGCAGGGAGCCCAGCAGAGTGCTCAGCTTTGGCCCCACCAACCAATTCCTTCCCTAGGGGCTGCGTCTGGTGCTCAGATGGAAGTCTTGCTTTCTGGCCTTTTCTCACCTTCCCACAATCTTCTTCGTATAAACCGCCCAAGTCTCCTGCTCTTTCCACAGCCACTGCTCTTCTTCGGGACATCACCCTCCCTGGCCTGGATGCCAGCCCTCACCTGTAACAAGTCTCCCTGCATCTTGTACCTCCAATCTGGGCCCCTTGCAGCATCAGTCAGATTGTGGCTTTACCCATTAGAAAAGCCTGCAGGGCTCTAAGATCCTGTACTTGGAGGAAAATAGTTTGTCTGATTGCCCAAAAGACTTGGTGTATCCATCCCTCAATCTCATCTCCAAGCACCATCACCTCCACTTCCTAAAGCCTCTGACCATCAAGCACACCATGCTTGCCCCCGTCTCGGGTCTTTGCTTGTCCTCCCTTCTTTTAACATCCAAGTCATAGGTCAAGTAACATTTTCTCACAAAACACTCCTGCTTCACTGCCAGCTCTTGATTCCACCTGAAGTCCCCCCACCAGGGACACTCTGTTACAATCTCTTATGTTGTTTGTGAATAGCATTTACTAAATACCATGACCTTATGTTTTGTTTTTTGACTGATTCCGACCAGATTGTAAGCACCATGATAAGAAATATCTCCCATCTACCTTGTTCACTGCTTGACCCTCACTGTCTAGCACAGGACTTTACACATAGTAGGTGCTCAATGAGTAACTGTGGAATTAGTTCAGGGCCCCAGTCCCTGCTACTGGTCCCTATTTCTGTACTTTAAGCAGCTGTCCATCCCCTTTGCCTGCCTTGTGCCCTGCCCAGTCCGGTGGGTCTCCAGCTGCCCTCAGCAGTCCCCTCCCAGGGCCTGACTCTCCAGTCCTAGCTGGCTGCTGGGCCCAAGCCCTGTGAGCTCTCCTCACCTGGTGCAGAACTGAGGCACTGGTAAGGCTGGCCAGGAGGAGGAGCAGGAGACAGGCAGCCTGGATCCGTGTGCTCAGTGCCATTGTGCTGTGTCTAGCCGTCCTGCTTGTAGGTCTAGGACTGCTCCGGTGTCTGGGCTGTCACAGTTGCTTTTATGGGGCCCACTGGGGGAGGCGGGGGTGCTAAGCCCCCTCCCCTTTGTCCTAACTCATTTCCCAGAAGGTAGTGGCGCCAAAAAGGCGGGAGATAAGCGGGAACAGAGTGACAGGGCACAGGGTTGTGTCACCCTCAGACAGCAGAGGTGTGTCCAGGGGGTGGGGTAGATGGGGCCACAGACAACACCTCTAGCCAGCCCCCTGGGAAAATACTTTCCCTAACACGACATCACCTTGTTGACCTCAGAAAAAATTCCCCCTTTTGCCTCACCTTGTTGACCTCAGAAAAAATTCCCCCTTTTGCCTCACCTTGTTGACCTCAGAAAAAATTCCCCCTTTTGCCCCAGAGGTTGAACAGGTCGATGAGCAGGAGCAAGGTGTCCTTGCTCCCCACCCTTCCCTGACGTCTACATTCACATGGGGAGTGGCTGTCTCTTACCAGGCCCCTCAGGGGTGCCTGGCACAACTGCCACAGCTTCAGTTCTGTTCTGTAGGGGACACTGCAATAGTCAGATGAAGGAGTTTGAGTTGGCACAGCATGTTGTGATCTTTTGTAAGTGTTAGAACCTTAAGATGTGGCCCTGATATCTGGAAAATGTTCCTGTGGACTTTTGACCATGAAAGATGCCAGTAGTAGTAGTGGTTGCACCTCATATGCCATAGCAGATGTACTGACTCACTCATGTGTTAACACAGCCAGTACTACCTGTCCTCAAAGCAGCACCTACCTACCCCATTCCAGACTTTGCACTGCATTGAGTCTCTAGCTGCCTCCTCAGCCCACCCCCAAGAACCTGGCTTCTCAGACACTGCTGCCTCTTAGGAGCCCACCATACCCACCCTTGTTTTCCTCACTTGACGGGAGAGGAACTGAAGGAGAAGACTGGGGCACTGCCAGAGCCAGAGGCACAGCTGGCATTCTGGACTAGGCAGCCTGACACTGATCATCAGGCTTTCCCGCCTCCCCAAAACAGGGGGGCACAGTGGGGTGTACTAGACCCAGCTCATGCTGGCTCAATGGAGCTACTGTGCACATCTCATCCCACCTACACATTGTGTTGGTACCTTGACCCCAGCAGTGGGGTATGCACACTAGACATCAGCCTACACAACAAACCAGGGTGCTTTTTGGGTGGTCCCCTAGAACACCACTGGATGGGGAGATGAACCAAGGATGCTTGACTGTCCTAGCCATTCCTGGCACCACGCGTAGTAGGTGCACATAGCCCAGAGGACCCACAAACTTGATTCCAGAGATGGGGCTTTGGCCATTTTGCAGGACTCATGATAGGATCATCCAGTGTCAAGCCTATCGTTAGAGCCTGGAGATGCTGTTGCCAAGGAAAGCTTCCCCCTGCCATGAACAGTAAGCCAAGCACACTCACAAGCACAAGAATGGGGCACCCCTGGGGAGGAAAAGTAGCTCCCTGCCACCTGCTTCCTTATTCACTCGATGTTAGGTTCTTCCTGCTGCATACACCCTCGCTCTCAAAGATGGCCTCATACAGAGGAATGGCCAGGAAAAGGAGACAGGGCTCTCAGAGGGAAGAAACCAGTTGGTGACACTTTGGGTACACACAGGGTGAACTCAGCGAGGTGATGACTGGCAGGCCTAGACCCTGGCAGTGGATGGAGCTGCACGCTCAACTGCAGGGAGACACAGAAGCAGCCCCCAGCACTGCCTGGTGTCACTGCATCTCCACGCAGGCCAGGTTTCATCATCAGCCAGGGGCAGGGGTCACAGCACAGGCGCCAGAGCTACAATGCAAGGCGACAGGCTGACGGGCCAAGCCTGGCTTCTTGGCCGTCTGCCTTCCTTGGGGGTGGGGGGCTCAAGGCCAGGCCCCACCATTGGCTGGTGCAGAGGGAAGGGCTTCAGCACAGAAGCGCAGGGCCAGGAGTCAGTCCTGTTTTCAGAAACTGGTGACACAGGAGACCCCAGCCTCGCCTCCAAAAACATGGGTCCTTGACCTAACCTCTCCCCACCCCCACACCACATATACACACCTGGGGCCTCAAAGAGAATATTCTTTGCTCAATTCCTCCATCCATCCATCCAACAAACTGAGGACCATGCAATACAGGGTGGCAGGGGCTGACACGCAGCCACCAACACAACGGTGGAAGCCCTGCCCTCACAGAGCTCTGCAGAGACCCCATGCCCCTCCCCACACCTGAGATGAACAGATACACAGACAGACAAGGCGGGGCCGCATGGGGCCAGTTTATTGCAGTTAAATACCTCTCTCTCTATTTTTTGTCCATTTCTCCATAAAGAAAATTAAAACACACACACACACACACACCCAAAGGGAAGCAGGAATCCAGAAAGAAGAGGTGGGGTGGGACATGGCCTCCCTGCTTAGGTCCAGGTCCCAGGGATGGCCCCCCAAGGGCTCCCGCTCCTTCCCATAAGCACCGTATCAGTACCTCTAGAGACCAAAGAGGCAGTGGGGTATGGCAAGGCCTCTGTCCTCCTCCCTTCTGCCTCCAGGCGAGACCACTAGAAGTGCTGGGGCTTAGTGGGGCCCAGGAGAAGGGACACAGATGGGGGAGGGAGGATATCACTTCCACATTGAGGAGAGTGGTGGGTGCTTATCCACAGAAATGCATTACTTCTCCCCATTTTTTTTTTTGTTAAAAATCTACTATAAAAAAACGCAGCTGGGGGAGGGGCATCTGTCCCTCTCTGTGCTAAGGGCTGGGGAAGAGGGCAGCAGAGGCCCAGAGGAGGCCCTGCTACATGACGGGGTGGGTGTCACTGCCGGTTGCTCTCGCCCACCATCTCCAAGTTGTGCTGCTGCAGCTGGGCACGAAGCACAGCGTTCTCATTCTTCAGCTCCTCAATCTGGCAGACATGACAGGGGACAAGGAACCAGGGATAGCTCCCTGTACCTTGAGGTCCAGGGTTCTCCACCCAGCTCCCAGCCCTGATACTCACCTGTTGCCTCAAGAGCTCATTGTCCATTTGCAGCCGCTCAGCCTCCTTGAAGGTTTCCTGCATGCGCTGGTTGGTCTGGCGTAGTTCCCGGATGTAGTCGCAGGCCTTCGACAGGATCCCTCCTTTACTCTGGGGGTAGGGTGAGGTGGGCAAGAGCATTAGAGCAAAGCCTACCTGCTGTCCTCTGCCCACTGGCTCACCCAAGGACAATGCCTGTGTCCAGTGGTCAGGCAGATTTTCTGGGAGGGGTGTAGGGCACTCACCGCTCCCGTCTTGCTGTTGTCTGCGTTACAATCTGGAATGATTTTTGAAAGTTGGACGATCCAGTTGTTGATCTTGTCCCTCCGCCTCCTCTCCACTGCAGGAAGAACAGCAGTAACGACACAGTGCTTCCTGTGCCCCTAGGTGCTTTGCCTCCTGAGGCAGGTGCCGGCAGAACCCAGGTTGCCAAGGCAGAGGGTGGACCCTGCGCAAGGTCACACTGCTAGCAAATACAGGGTCAAGATCTGAACACAGGTGGCAGGCTTCCTCGCCTGCGTCGCACTGCTCCTCAAGAGGAACAAAGGAAGTCTCACTCTTAAGTACCATATTTTGCCGTATATATTGAGAGCCTGTGTATGATGTGCACCCATGCTTTTGGCCCAAACGCTCAGGGAAAATTTTTTAAAATCATTTATTTGTATATAGAAACAAAACCAATTGTATTCCAGGGTATCATTTTGCTTTCTAGAGTTATACTTTTAACACATAAGCACAAATAACAGAATTAAAAACATTTACTAGATATGGAGTTAGTACTACCCACGTATAATGCATACCCTTATTTTTCCCTCAAAAATTTGGGCAAAGAAGTGCACATTATACACAGCAAATACTGTACCTTTAAAGGAGAATCAACAATGGAAGACTGTGGGTTCATTTTGTTTGCTTATTGTTAAAAATTTGAGCTAACGTTTAAAAATTAGGGAATTCCACATAATAATTAACATCTTTCGAGAAAAGGAGTTGCGGCTAGAATGGGCATGTATTCTTGAGAGGCAACAGGCAGAGTCTATTCACATGGAACCAAGTGCCCTCTCTGGTCCTCATAACCCCTGCGTTCGATTCACCAGGTCTCTCCAAAGCTCTGGGCCCCGTGATTCTCTCTTCATCTTTACAATCAGTCTCACCATGCCTCATCCTTGTTTAAAACCTTTCTCCAGAGAGCTGGCAGCAAGTCCCAGATACCCAGAATGGCACTTATGGCTCACAGGGGCCTGGCCCATCAGGGCCCTGGGTCACCTAGGAACTACACGAACACCATCTTGAAGCCAGGGATGGCAAACCAATAGAAGATTTCACTTGAAAAGAATCCAGATTTGTGATTTCCATAAAACGGCATAACCTCTTTTTGCCAGGAGAGTTCAGCGGCAGCCACCCCCTTCAGATAGGGCATGTCCTCCCTCTGGCTTCTCACCTGGCCAGCACATCCTGAGCTTATGATGACCGCCTGGGATCTGCCTTCATCGAAGCCCGAGACCCCTGGTTTGGGGCCTACTGAAGCAAACCTGTCCCAGCCCTTCCTCACCTTCCAGCCCCAGCCCTAGGCACTGGTGGGGACACCAAAGAAAGCCTAGTTATTCCCCCAACTCTCCTTCACAACTCTCAGTCCCCTGCCAGGATGGCCCATGGATAAATGCAGGCATGTCTGTGGAGAGAAGACTGGGCCTATAGGTAGGATTTAGAAAGAAGGGCAAGAAGATATTTTCTCAGGGTTGGTTAATGCTGATGAAAGACTTCGGAGGGGCCGAGGGTGAGAAAGGAGGGGTGGGCCAGGAGAATGCCCCTCAATCCTCACCTCCTGAGGCCAGGGCCGCCCCGGCCCTGGTGTTCCCTCAAAGAACACACCTGGCCACTAACAGACAAATCCCACTGTCTTCTCTCGCCACTTGTTTTTTTCCACTCATTGCTGACCCGTCCTTCCCACCTCCAAGTGATGCCCCACTCTTGCCTGGGTGACAACACCTGTTTATGTGGAGGACCCTCCCCCTCCCTGGCCCTTCTTCCTCCCTCACTCTC